ACACACACACACACACACACACACACACACACACAAAAAAAAACATTAATAGTTTGGGTTTAGCTCTAGTGTCAGCGCTTGCAGTTACATTTTATTCAACATCTTATTGCAGCATGAATTTCATCAGCTAAGTTGCTAAACTTACATTTAAAAACAAATTATTCGGTTTGCGATAAATTTCCAAACTACGCCATGAAAAAAAAAAAAAGAAATTCCAAGTCATTGTTTTTCTGTTTAGTTTTTCTGTCAGTGCATTGAATCCTGGGATATCCTCGGCCGGTGAGGATACTCTGATGTGTCCTTGGATTCTGACATTTTGTGGGCCGCATGAGGAGGAGTTGGACTGCCTATCCAACCTCTGTAGGGTAGGGCTTAAACTACAGTTGTTTGTGTAAGCAGACACACTTATGAAGATAGTTAAATGGCCAAATTCTGCTGGATGGAGAGAGCACAAACATGTATGGAATAATCCCGTCTGCTGAAAAGTGTGGAATTCTACTCATGACAGATTTGTGGCCAAATGGCAGATGCAGGGATTGTGTAGAGAAACTGGCAGAAAGACTCCCATGCTGTGACGTGTACTGCAGTGAGCCTCCCAGGAGCTGTGCACAGTGTGTCTCATGGATTATGAATGTGAAAAAAAAACAACATACGTCTACGTGACATGGAGTATGAAACAACCTTTGTCTAAAGTGGCTGAAAGAGYTCAACAAGCTGCAACTAAAGAAACAATATGCAAAAACRCAACAATGCAAATTAGAAAATTAATGTRAACAGTTTGACAAGAATTGYAATTGCTCACACCATGCAAATCAGCAGGTGTGCTGCAGGTAGTCACAGGAAATGATAAATGGCCTGCAAATGTACAGAGCTGTATCAAGTCTAAAGACTCCACAGCTCTTCACACTACAGTCATGCAGTGGCTAGTGAGCTAGCCCTGGGGCATACAGACAGAAGTGAGGACCACCACCAGCTCRGGGGTCATGTAGTCTGGTTGAAATGGCCAGTAAACATCTATAACTTTAAATATAAATATTATTTTAGTCCTAAGTCATGACAGGAAGGTGCTAACTGCATGAAGTTTGAACATCRTAAGTGTGGAGGGATGTGCTCGGTCAAAGCTCACCTGGCCTCTCCCGTCTGCGTCTCCATCTGGTTCACCCAGGCCTTGTAGATGTCCACMGGGTCCGTCTTGATGTTCAGCGTTTTGTCGTCCATGATCTCCTTGACAACCGGAGCCAGGATCTGTCTCAGAGCGTTCTGTCCCCGCGCACCTCTGTGGAAGCTCACCACCATCTTTATGACCGTTGGGTTTCCTGTGACGATCTCCTTCATCTGGTCCACTTTTGACCTGCAGACAGTTTCAAAAAGCAACATTTAGGATCTTCTGCAGAACAGATTCACAAACTTTTATCTGATATATTTCAAAATTATGGAGGACTGAAACTGACAGAATAAAAAAAAAAGCAGGAATATATAAATGGACCAATAAATAAATAAACAAAATGCACCAATTTCGTAAATTAAAAAAAGAGAACTTTACCTCATGTTCTATAATTGAATTGACCTACATATTTATTTTTCCAGCTTAGTTCCAATAAATATATTTTAGCACAGAACTTACAAATAATCATAATTTTAAAATAAAGGCACAGATACGTGTTTTTCCTCCTTGGGTTTGTTTTTATCTAAACTTAAAGCCAAACTGAGGCAGCACAAGTGTGCACCACTGATCTGCACATGGATGCTGCTCCTTCCTGTCTATTGACCAATAGGAGAGGAGCTGACCCCAAAAGCCCCGCCCACCTTCTTTACATAATGAGGCAGAAA